CGAGACCRAGACAAGACCAAGACTTTTAGGGTTTGGACCAAGTCGRGACCAAGACCAAGGGAGRGCGAGACCAAGACAAGACCAAGACTTTTAGGGTTTGGACCAAGTCGAGACCAAGACCAAGACCAGATTTAAAAAAAGTGCCCTTAATGATGGAGTATTCTGTATACATGTACAGTGGGGGAGAAAGTATTTTGCTCTCATAGTTGAGGTCTAACTATGATGTCAATCACAGGCCTCTATCATTTTAGGTGGGAGAACTTGAACAATTGGTGCAGACTAAATACTTTTTTGTCCCACTGTAGCTAAGTTAATATGTAGAGCTGATATTGACAAAATCTTTGTTTGAGGACAGAGGAAAGAATTTTACTACAGAGGCAGATTAACGTTACTGATGATAAAAAGTTTAAAGTTGTCCCATCATCTCTGAAAGTTGAGCACTCCCGAATTTACAAGTTGCTGTACGCTTTCTCCTGGTTGTTGTTGTTTTACAATATTATTTATGAATAATGTAGACAAACGTTTTTACTTAAAATTTTGAAGACATCTTTTATCGCTCCCAGAGAACAACTGCTTACTTTCCTAGAGTGCTGCGTGCGACTGAAGAGAGTGGGGATGTGTGACTGTAACAAATATTCATAGATAGCAATGAGTCAGGTTTGGATTTCAATCAGTAGCTACATTTTAAATCCAATGAAACCAAGAATGTTAACTAATAAATTGGCCAACAATCTGGCTATTTAGTGATTTTTCCACAGTTGTGGTCTTGACTGGTCTTGAAATAAAAATCAGAGTCCTCAATGTCCGAGACCGAGACAAGACCGAGTACAAATGTTGTCGAGTCCGAGACAAGACMAAGACTATGGAAAARGTGGTCTTAAGACCAAGACCGGTTTCAAGTACTACAACACTACCCTCCACCATCCTATTATGCATCTTTCTTCAGATAGCACCAGCCTTTCACACATTGTCAAATTAAACCCTTCAAAATACAACACTGGACTGCTTCTTAGAGGTGATATAATGGTGCAGAGTTTGGCTGTTGAAYTCAGCACAGGCTCACAAGGAGGACGCTGATGGGGAACAGTAAAGTATTTCTATTGAGCTAAAAATATTATCCTCTAAAAATGGTGTCTGTGTGTAAAAAACATGTACAACCTTCAGAAAAGACTACTTTAGTATTTACAGCTACACATGGAGTCCTATCTTTACATGAATCCAAAAAATACCAGATGTGAACTACTAATGTCATGATTCACTCACAGCCTCATTCATTCCTTACATGGTAAAATAAATGACTTTATTTTCAAATGTATTACTCAGTTCGTACAATTGAAGTCCTATTCTGTATAATAATGTAAGATGACCTGTCAGAAAAGGTTTCTTACAGGTGAGCACTCTTTATTCTCCTTTAATTACTGCAATGTTATGAATCACTGCAGAATTGATCTGTATTCTACTGAAAACAGAGGTTTTAAAAAACACTAAACTCTGTAGCACCATGAYACACAAAGCATCTGGAATGTCTTTGACTTGTTGTGGTTTCAAAGAGATTTGGCCCTTCGTAACTCAAGCAACCACCCTGGAGGAAATTAGACTTGAGAAGACAGGAACAACACAACAAAAGAAGAGAACTGTTTCCCTGTTTTAGCTGATGGATGAGCTGCAACTCTAATATTTCTGTTCACAAACATCTTCTACCGGCAACAGCACAAAGCCAGCCGCAGTTTGAGAAAAGAAGACATAGTTTGAGAAAAGATACTGCTGTTAAAGTCATTAGCAACTCTCAGTGAGGTCAGCTAGGACACAATACCTGGTTACGCTGTCAGACACTCTGGCTGATGGAAAAAACCCAGAACATGAAAATGAATAACATTTTTGGACGGTCATGCACACGCAGCACTCAATCATACAGATGAATGTACARCAGCTTACAATTCACACCAGCTGCAGTACTCGCTATTAATCCTGTCCCCAACAAACATCGTTCCAACTGACAGAACAGCTAAACAACCCACAATGGCATCACATGAGAGACGCGCAAAAATACTGGTGTGCCTCAAAGAAAAAAGCAAGTGAAAAGTTTTGGAAGACTAAAAGTCCCATCCTTACAGAGATGTTAAATTACAGAAGTAACAAGTCTGTGTTTTTTATTCATGAATGAAAAGCAGAATTAAACAGTGGACAATAAAAACRAGACTCAAAAGTGCAGAGTTAACCCAAAAAACAGAAACGGGATTGAAAGCAGCTCTGAACTATTTTTCCTTTGTTTTATTCCAGAGATTCTTAACCTATGGGCCGCGGCCCAATTGTGGGCCGTGAGCGTCACCTTGAGGGCCTCAAAAGAACAACAGCTTTTAACTTTGGACCGCATTGATTTTGAATAATGTGCAATACACTTTCTCACCACTAGTAACAGTAGTGCACCGCTCAGATGTTTAACAACTTATTAATATGTAGAAGAAGAACCTTAGAAACCTGCTG